CCCCCGACCCCAGGCATTGAGGGCAGAGCCAACCACCTGCCTGAATCAGTTAGCATATTCAATGTAAGCCCAGTTAGCATATCCAAATAGCAGCCCACAGTGACATTCTGACTTCTGCTGAGAGCTCACAGCAAGGGCGTTCTACACTGGGCTGCCCACATACGAATCCGTGGACAGTACTCCAGGATTGCAAGGTGAAGACAGACTATGTGTGGAGGTTGGGAATGGTGCTGAATGCCCTGCAGTGCACAGGACAGACCCCGTCACAGAGAAGGTTTACCAAAGGCATGAGGATGAGAGCGGAGAGGGAGACAGCCTTGGGCAGCCCCACCTGGGAACATGAACCGTTCGTGGGTGACTATTGCCCACTTGCAGAGACACCTCCTATTCCTGACAGTCCCAGTGTTAATATAATAATTCTGTACTTGAGGCTGGGTGCAGTGGCTCACACCTGTAATCCCAGTGCTTTGGGAGGCCAAGGCAGGAGGACTGCTTGAGGCCACAAGTTTGAGATCAGCCTGGGCAACATAATGAGACCCCAGGACTACAAAAAAAAAAAAAAAAAAAAAATTCAGCCAGGTGGGATGGCTCATACCTGTAATCCCAGCATTTTGGGAGGCCGAGGTGGGCGGATCACTTGAGGTCAGGAGTTCAAGACTAGCCTGGCCAACATGGTGAAACCCCATCTCTACTAAAAATGCAAAAAATTAGCTGGGCACAGTGGCATGTGCCTGTAATCCCAGCTACTCGGGAGGCCAAAGCAGGAGAATCGCTTGAACCTGGGAGGCGGAGGTTGCCATGAGCCAAGATGGTGCCATTGCACTCCAGCCTGGGCAATAAAGTGAGATTCTGTCCCAAAAATAATTAATTAATTAATTAATTAATTTTCATTATCCAGGCATGATGGTATGTGCCTGTAGTCCCAGCTACTCAGGAGACTGAGGCAGGAGGATCACTTGAGCCCAGGAGTTGGAGGCTGCAGCGAGCTATGATCATACCACACTCCAGCCTGGGCAACAGAGCAAACCCTGTCTCTCAAAAATGGGGAGACACCAGCCATATTGGATTAGGGTCCTAGGGACCTCATTTAACCTTCATTATGTCCTTCAAGGCTCTATCTCCAAATATAGTCACACTGTAGGTTAAAGCTTCAACATGTGAATTTGGGGTGGGACTCAGTTCAGTTAGCACAGCAGGCATTTTCTTTTTCTCCATGAGAAACTTTTTTTTTTTTTTTGAGACAGGGTCTCACTCTGTCTCGCAGGCTAGAGTGCAATGGTGCAATCACAGCTCACTACAGCCTGCACCTCCCAGGCTAAGTGATCCTCCCACCTCAGCCTCCCAAGCAGCTGGGACTATGGGTGCACACCATCACACCCAGCTAATTTTTTTTTTTTTTTTTTTTTTAAAGACAAGGTCTCCGTATGTTGCTCAGGCTGATAAAGTAACTTTTAATAGGAAATGTCATGTTTTCTTCTTTCTCTGTCTCTGAGAAGGGGCCACAGAGACCGAGGGCACCTCACTTGGCTATAGTAGACAGTAAACATAGCCACGAATTCCAGCTGCTCCCCATGAGGGAAGAAAAACTGTTATAGGTTGATGGCAAGAGCCAGATACAGAGATTCGGTGGCTCACGCCTGGAATCCCAGAACTTTGGGAGGCTGAGGCACGAGGATCATTTGAAGTCAGGAATTTAAGACCAGCCTGGGCAACATAGCAAGACAAAAAAAAAAAAAAAATTAAGATTAGCCAAATGTAGTGGCCACACCCTTGTAGTCTCAGCTATGCAAGAGGCTGAGGAGGCCAGGCGTGGTATATCACTCCTGTAATCCCAGCACTTTGGGAGGCTGAGGCAGGTGGATCACCTGAGGTCAGGAGTTGGAGACCAGCCTGGCCAACATGGTGAAACTCCATCTCTACTAAAAATACAAAATTCGCTGGGTGTAGTGGCACATGCCTGTAATCCCAGCTACTCGGGAGGCTGACACAGGAGAATCGCTCAAACCCGGGAGGTAGAGGCTGCAGTGAGCCAAGATCATGCCACTGCACTCCAGCTGGAGAAAGAGCAAGACTCTGTCTCAAAAAAAAAACAAAACAAAACAAAAAAAGAGGCTGAGGCCAGATATCTGGAGCCCAGAAGTTCAAGGCTGCAGTGAGCCAGGATCCCATCACTTCACCCCAGCCTGGGCAACACAGTAAGAGCCTGTCTATTAAAAAAAATGAAAATAGGCCGGGCGCGGTGGCTCACATTTGTAATCCCAGCACTTTGGGAGGCTGAGGTGGGCAGATCATGAGGTCAGGAGTTCGAGACCAGCCTGGCCAACATAGTGAAACCCCGTCTCTAATAAAAATACACAAAATTAGCCAGGTATGGTGGCGGGTGCCTGTAATCCCAGCTACTCCGGAGGCTGAGGCAGGAGAATCACTTGAACCCAGGAGGCGGAGGTTGCAGTGAGCCGAGATCGCGCCATTGCACTCCAGCCTGGGTGACAGAGTGAGACTCTGTCTCAAAAAATAATTAAATGATAAAATTTTTTAAATAAAAATAAAATAGAATACTACTGAAATACCTCTCTAGCAGCTGGTAGCTAGCCCCTGCCCTTCCCCCAGACCTCCTGGACCTCCCCTCACAATCCAGCAACTACAGGGTTAATGTTTGGCCCCAAAAGAGTCTTCAGGCTCCACATGCATCCCACAGTGGCTGTGGGTTAATGTTCCTTCCAAACCTACTGACCAGTGTCTGGAACAGCACCCCTGTGCCCAAGATTTGAGGCCCTGAAACATTAGTAGAAGTGGGATCCAGTCTGATGTATCAGGGCAGATGAGGCCGAGCTGTGAAACAAATAGCCTCAGGATCTCACTGGCACAAACCGATAAAGGTTCTCCCACTCTTGGTTTTTTTTTTTTTTTTTTTTTTTAATTTCTTTTTTTTTTTTCTCAGATGAATTTAAGATTCATCCACTCTTGTTAGATGTCCTTCATGGACTGACAGGGAGCTCACTTCTTCAGAGTCACTTAGGGACAGGCCTGAGGGGACAGACACTGTCCATAACATCACCAGCCATGCGACAGACAGAAAGAGAACTTGGGAGGGTCCTGCTGTGACAGTTAAATAGCCTGGCCCCTGGTGCAGTGGCTCACACCTGTATTCCCAGTGTCTTCGGAGGCTGAAGCAGGAGGATCACTTGAGTCCAGGAGTCTGAGATCACCCCGGGTATCGATCGATGATTGATTGATTGATAGATAGATAGATAGATAGATAGATAGATTGATTGATTAAAAAAATTTTTTTTTTAAATAATCTGGGTGCAGTGGCTCATGCCTGTAATCCCAGCACTTTGGGAGGCTGAGGCAGGCAGATCACCTGAGGTCAGGAGTTTGAGACCAGCCTGGCCAACATGGTGAAACCCTGTCTCTACAAAAATATAAAAATAGCCAGGCATGATGGCAGATGCCTGTAATCCCAGCTACTCGGGAGGCTGAGGTGGGAGAATCTCTTGAACCTGGGAGGTGGAGGTTGCAGTGAGCCGAGATCGTGCCATTGCACTCCAGCCTGAGTGACAGAGCGAGACTCCATCTCAAAAATAATAATAAATGCTCTGGCCCCAAAGTGGCACATTACATGGTGCACACTCTATTAGCAAGAACTCATCACATGGCCCTACCAACCACAGGAGGAACCCTCTCCTGTACTCAGGTAGGAGGGCCAGGAAACACCGGCAGAGAGCTTTAGTGACCACCATGACTGGGGTGAGGGACCAGGGATTGGCTGTAGGCCAAGGGCATGTCCATGGCATTGGAGACTTGGGAAAAGATCTCCTCTGGGCCACGCACGGTGGCTCTCATCTGTAATTCCAGCACTTTGGGAGGCTGAGGTGGGAGGATCGCTTGAGCCCATGAGGTCGAGACTGCAGTGAGCGATGATTGCGCCACGGCACTCCAGCCTGGGCGACAGAACAAAACCCTGTCTCAAAAATCCAAATAAAACCAAAACCAAAACATCCTCTGTTGGGGATGCTCCAGGGCGTCCGTCCCAGCCTTGGACTGATGGGTCACTGCAACAATAATTCTACAGCAGACAGTGTCCCAAGGCTGCACGTACATTACTTTGATCATCAAACAGCCACGTGACAGCCGGGCATGGTGGCACGCGCCTGTAGTCCCAGCTACTCAGGAGGCTGAAGCAGGATAATCTCTTGAACCTGGGAGGCGGAGGGTGCAATGAGCCAAGATCACGTCACTGTGATCTTTTTAACAGACACTGTTAAAAAAGAAAGAAAGAAAGAAAGAAAGAAAGAAAAAACAGACCAGGCGCAGTGGCTCACGCCTGTAATCCCAGCACTTTGGGAGGCTGAGGAGGGTAGATCATCTGAGGTCAGGAGTTCGAGACCAGCCTGGCCAACATGGTGAAACCCCATCTCTAGTAAAAATACAAAATTAGTCAGGCATGGTGGCACACACCTGTAATCCCAGCTACTCGGGAGGCTGAGGCAGGAGAATCGCTTGAACCCAGGAGGCAGAGGTTGCAGTGAACTGAGGTCGTGCCATTGCACTTCAGCCTGGGCAACAAGAGTGAAACTCCATCTCAAAAAAAAAAAAAAAAAAAAAAAAAAAACCACCAGGTGAGGCAAGTACTCTTGCTATTGTCTCCATTTCACAGATGGAGAAACTAAGGCACTAAGTGGTAGAGTAACCTAAGTCATGCAGCTGATAACTGGGAGACAAGATTGGGACCCAGGTTGCCCAGCTGTTCTCCATGTTGGGCTGTCTCCTAAACAGCTGCTTCATGGTCCTGGCCCCATCGAGAACCAGAGCCCACAAGGTCATTGCAGCAGCACTGCCCAGGGCCCCCTCTGGGCCAGGCCCTCAGGGAACTGGAGACCCCACAGAGACCAGAAAGATTGGGGTCTCATTCTCGGGAGCCTCTGGCTTTGCAGCTGACCCAGAGTCCAGCTGACACCCGGGCAGGCAGTCAGGGTCTGTCTGCACCCCCATTGCAGGAGGAGCCGACAAACAGCAAATGGACGCTGAGCTGCGGAAGGAGATGATGGCGATTTGGCCCAACCTGTCCCAGAAGACGCTAGACCTGCTGGTCACACCTCACAAGTGTAAGAGCCGAGCCCAGCCCTGGGATCCGATCCATCAGGACAGATGGAGGGGGAGGGAAAGAGGAGGCCTGGGGAGAGTGTCGGCCCCGGCTGGTATACACAGGGACCCAGGACAAGGGCCCTAAGGAGGCCTGCCCATGGTGAGCTCGCCCTGTGTGTGCCCCCAGCCACGGACCTCACCGTGGGGAAGATCTACGCGGCCATGATGATCATGGAGTACTACCGGCAGAGCAAGGCCAAGAAGCTGCAGGCCATGCGCGAGGAGCAGGTACGCTGTTCGCTGCTCTGGGGACATGTGGGCTAGGGACAGTGGCTTGCATGTCCCCATGGGAACCAACTGGAATATGAGGGTGGCAAAGCCCCAGGGCAGGTCCCTGAAAAGTAGGGACTAGGCCGGGCCCGGTGACTCAGGCCTGTAATCCCAGCATTTTGGGAGGCCGAGGCGGGCAGATCACCTGAGGTCAGGAGTCCGAGATCAGCCTCAACACGGAGAAACCCCGTCTCTACTAAAAATACAAAATTAGCCGGGCATGGTGGTGCATGCCTGTAATCCCAGGTACTCGGGAGGCTGAGGCAAGAGAATTGCTTGAACCTGGGAGGCAGAGGTTGCGGTGAGCCGAGATCGTGCCATTGCACTCCAGTCTGGGCAACAAGAGTGAAACTCTGTCTCAAAAAAAAGAAAAAAAGTAGGGGCTGGGCATGGCAGCTCACACCTGTAATCTCAGTGCTTTGAGAGGCCAGGGCAGAGGGATCGTTTGAGGCCAGTAGTTTGAGACCACTCTGGGCAACACAGTGAGACTAAAACATTAGCAAGACATGGTGGTGCACATCTGTAGTCCCAGCTATTTAGGAGGCCAAGATGGGAGGATCACTTGAGGCCAGGAGTGGGAGACCAGCCTGGGCAACATAGAAAGACCCATATCTCTACAAAAAACAAACAAAATTAGCTGCATGTGGTGGCGGGCACCTGTGGTCCCAGCTACTTAGGAGGCTGAGGCAGGAGAATCACTTGAACCTGGGAGGTGGGGGTTGCAGTGAGCCAAGATCACACCACTGCACTCCAGCCCAGGTGATAGAGCAAGACTCTGTCTCAAAAAAAAAAAAAAAAAAGTTCTTGCCAAGGACACATAATGTGGATTCATTCAGCTGCTCCACCAACACTTACTGAGTACCTACTGTGTGCAGGGTGCTGTTCTCAGTCCTCAGGGGTGCACCCATGGGCAAAACAGGCCAGAGTCCCTGCCCTCAGGGAGCAGACATTCCAAGGGGGGAAATGCCAATGGTAGCAAATGACTGAATCATGCAGCATCCAGCAAAGAGAAAGAAGTGTCATGGGGGAAAGTGGAGAAGAATCCAGAAGATAGGAGTACCCAGGGGAGGAGGGGATGCAATGGGAAATGGGTAGTTGGGGAACCTCCCTGAGACGGTGAAATGTAAGCAAAGGCTTGAAGGAAAAGGGGAGAGAGAGGGAGCTAAGCAATACCTGGAAGGGTGTTCAAGGCAGAGGGAACAGCTAGTGCAAAGGCTCTAAGGCTGGACTGTGTCTGGGTTGTTTGGGGAACAGCAAAGAGGCCAGTGTGATGGAAAAGAGCAGGGAGGAGACAAGGGCAAGGAGGTGACAGGGCAGATCCTTCAGGGCCACAGGAGCTGCAGGAAGGACTCTGGCTTTTACCCCAAGTGAAGTGGGAGCCATGGAAGGTTCTAAGCAAAGGAGAGATCTGACCCGACTCAGGTGCTCATGGGCACCCTCTGGTGGCTCTTGTGGAACAGTGGGGTTGAAGGTAGGAGTGGGAGACCTGGGAGAAGGTGGCTGCAGTGGGAGATGAGGAGGCGGGACCAGGCTGTGGCTATGACTTGGGTGGAGGAGTGAGAAGTGGTCCAGTTCTGTGTGGAATTGGAAGGAAGGGTCTAGATGGATGAGATCTGAGTGTGTGTGTCTGTGTGTGTGCGCGCTTTTGTGTGTATACTGGGGATGTCGCAGTGCCTTCTGGGTACCACCATCCCACCACCCTGCCCTTGTCCACACATTACTCTCTGCTCCCTTCCCCAGGACCGGACACCCCTCATGTTCCAGCGCATGGAGCCCCCGTCCCCAACGCAGGAAGGGGGACCTGGCCAGAACGCCCTCCCCTCCGCCCAACTGGACCCAGGAGGAGCCCTGTGAGTGTCGCCCCTGCTAGGGAGGTGGAGTGCAGGGGTGTCGCGGTCTCCACGTTCTGGAAGCCGCCTAAGCACCCACTGCTACCCCGGCCTCTGTCCCCCATGCAGGATGGCTCACGAAAGCGGCCTCAAGGAGAGCCCGTCCTGGGTGACCCAGCGTGCCCAGGAGATGTTCCAGAAGACGGGCACGTGGAGCCCAGAACGAGGTCCCCCCACCGACATGCCCAACAGCCAGCCTAACTCTCAGGTGCCTCTGTCCCCCGACTCCCCAACGGCTCCCAGGGCCCGGGTGGTTCAGGAGGAAAGGATCTGGGCCCCCCCACACACACACACCTGCAGCTCCCTCCATCTGCAGACACCAGGGATCTGGAGGTCAGGCCCCAGGGCTCATCCGGCTTCGCCATCTGCTCCGCAGTCCGTGGAGATGCGAGAGATGGGCAGAGATGGCTACTCCGACAGCGAGCACTACCTCCCCATGGAAGGCCAGGGCCGGGCCGCCTCCATGCCCCGCCTCCCTGCAGAGAACCAGGTGAGGGCTTTCACCACTGCCCTGGGGCTGGACCCCTAACTCTGCACTGGGTGGGGCCGGGCCCCCTGCAACAAGCAGCCCAGTGCATCCCCTCCCTGCCGGACTCAGGCCTGGGTAGAGTCTCCTTGGGCCTCTGAAGCAGTCTGCAGGCCCCACCCACCACCTGGCCACACCTGGAGCACCTGCAGACCCTCCTCCCTCACAGAGGACGGAGAAGAAAGTGCTCCCCTGGGGCAGAGGGCAGTGGCCACTGCAAAATGGTCTCTGGCTGCCCTGGTTGGAGGTTGCAGACAGGGGAGATTGTGGAAGATTAGTGGGTGCAGCAGGGTTCAACAGGGCCAGGTGAGACCTGCTGCGAAGATCACCCCTACACACACACACACACACACACACACACATGCTCCACATGCATGCACACACACGTGCAGCTGTGCGCCTACTCAGATGCTTGCATACACACACACATGCGTGTGCATGTGGGCATATACACACTGCACATGTCCTCACACATGCACACATGTACGTGCACACGTGTCTGTATATGGGAACTTGACAGGTCCTAGGGTGAAGTAGCAGAGTCCGGGGTGGGTCGGGGGGCAGCTGGGTTCCTATTTTCTGTCTGGTCTCTGTGGGGGTCACTGGGGGGGACAGGGGTGTGTGCTTGATGTGTGTCTGTGTGTGGTCGCTTCACCCAGCTGCCAGGCCCACCTGCAGATGATCTAGTTGCCCTGGACTCGTGGGACAGAGGGCCCAGAGGCATAGCTGGCTGCCCCCCCGCCTGAGCAGTGGCGGCCCATGCACACAGCTGGCCTCTGGAGGAGAACAGGGCGTGGCTTCAAGAGCCTGGCCCGGGCGCGTGGCATGTATGGCTGTGGCGAGCTTTCTGTGCGCTGTGTGTGGCGTCTGCACGGGGCCGGAGGCTGTGCTGTGCCTGGCTGGACCAGGGTCACCTGAGGGCCTGGCCTCTGGCTGCTGGGAACATGGGTTGGAGAGCACCCAGTGTGCATGCTGCTGCCCCCTCAGGACCGAGCTGCTGGGCCCCAGGAGAGGGTTGGGACAAGCCCAGCTGATGGCCACCACGTGGAAGCTTTGAGCATCAGCGGGAGGCAGGGGTTGGGGTGTGCATCGCATGAGGCAGAGCCCAGGGCCAGGGGCTCGAGGCTGCGCCGTCCCGTCTTTCGGTCCCGTGCCTCTGCCATCTGTCTGTCTGTGTCTCCTGTCTGTCTCCTCTGTACCCATGGGAATGGAGGACATCCAGCCCTGGGGGCCCAGGACACCCACCCGCCAGGACTTTAACTTTTCTCTTCCTTCCTGCCTTCTCCCTCCGATTTCTCTTGATGCCAGTGCCACCTCCCCTCCCTGGCTTCTTCTCCATGCACCACCTCCTCACTCTCCCTCTTGCCTTTTATATTTATTTTCTTCTTTCTGTTTTTTCTGTGTGCACCATCCCATGGGGCTGTGACAGAGGAGGAGGGGCCGGCCACGTGGGAATAACCTCAGTGTATGTACCGCGCCTGCCCAGCGCCCAGCAGGGCTCCGGCCCCCTCTTCCTCCCCACCCCCCCTCCAGGGAGTCCCGTCATCTCTCACCATCCCCAGACCCCACCCTTTCTTTGCCAGTCTCACCCTCTCCCCCATGGAGCCCAATCCTTGTGTGTGGTGTCCTGTGTGTGCCCCCCACCCATACGCCCTGGTGGGCGGGGCCATCCCCATCCTCACTCCTACCCCCTTTTCTTCAGGGCCCCCTACGCCAGAGGACACCGGCTCTCCAAGAGCCTGGCCCACCCTGCACCTCTTTCTGGGGGGCTTCTTCCCCTAACACCACCAGTGCTCAGCTGGGCTGGACCTTGGGAGGCGGACATCTGCCCCATCTCCCTCCTTCCTTCCCTTCTCTGCCTGCTGCAGGAAACCCCTGTAGGGCTTGACCCCGGGGTGCAGCACGGGGGAAAAGAGTGGGCCCTGAGAGCCTCAGGTGCCTGGGTATCCCCCACCCCCACCCGGAGCTCCCTAGCGTGGGCCTCACCAGAAGGACTCAGACTTGCGGGGGCAGCGAGCACAGCCCCGTTAGCCGGGAGGACCTGGAGCTGCCCTGCCGGGCACCTGGTCCTGAGCCCATAGGTCAGCCAGCCACAGAGTCGGAGACTTCTCACCTTCCCAGGAGAGCAAGCTGGGGCAGGGATGAGGGCAGCAGTCAGGGCTCCCAGGTTTGCACCCTGGATGTATGAGGGCAGGGCTTCCCTCTGGCCAGCCTGAGCCTGCCCAACCCTGGCTGGGCCCTGGGGGCTGGAGGATGAGGGTCAGATCTTTCTGGTCAGAACCCAGGATGGGCTCAAAAGGAGCAGTCTTGTCTCTGAGGGACAGAGGAGTCCTCACGCTCCACCCTCGGAGGCCTGGCCACACTCAGAGCCCTGATTGATCAGGGGGAGCCAAGGCCCCACGGCACCCGCTGGCCCCTGCCCCAGGATGGTCACACTCCAGTCATCAAAGGCCGCCGCCAGGCTGCCGCGATGGGGCGGGAAGGACCAGGACCACTTGGTGCTAGCTGCTGACCCCAGCCCACTGGCCTGTCCCCCCCACCAGACCATCTCAGACACCAGCCCCATGAAGCGTTCAGCCTCCGTGCTGGGCCCCAAGGCCCGACGCCTGGATGACTACTCACTGGAGCGGGTCCCACCCGAGGAGAACCAGCGGCACCACCAGCGGCGCCGCGACCGCAGCCACCGCACCTCTGAGCGCTCCCTGGGCCGCTACACCGACGTGGACACAGGTGGGCACCAACATGGACACAGATGGGCAGCCCCGTGGGGCTCAGGGACAAGCGGAACAGAGGAGAGAGGAGGAGAAGGCAGGGCAGGGGAGACACTGAGGAAGGAGAAAGGGAAGGCCTCCTTGGAGAGGGGACAGAGGGGGCCAGGCAGCGGCTGCAGGAAGCTGGGTACTGCCCCCTGCCCCTGACCCACTGACCTGCCTCGGTCTAGGGGATCTCTAGGGCCCCACACCCTCTGGGTGGCCTCCTGTGTGTGCATCTGCACCACCTGTCCCTCACGACCACCTGTCTGTCTGTCTCTCTGTCCAACCCTCGCCCCGCCCAGGCTTGGGGACGGACCTGAGCATGACCACTCAATCTGGGGACCTGCCGTCGAAGGAGCGGGACCAGGAGCGGGGCCGGCCCAAGGATCGGAAGCATCGACAGCACCACCACCACCACCACCACCACCACCCCCCGCCCCCTGACAAGGACCGCTATGCCCAGGAACGGCCAGACCACGGCCGGGCGCGGGCCCGGGACCAGCGCTGGTCCCGCTCGCCCAGCGAGGGCCGAGAGCACATGGCGCACCGGCAGGTGGGTGCGGCTGCAAGTAACCCCAGGCTGGGCTCACGGGCGGGGAGGTGGGGAGGAGAGAAGGGGACCCCCTACCCGACAGCCACTCTGGGCAAAGGTCCCCCAATCCCGGCTGTGACCACCTCCCATCCTGCCCCCAAGCCACAGGGGTGCCCGGCGGCCGGAGCAGACACGGCTCCCCGCCACATCAGCTGCCCATGCTGTCCCCCCAACACCCCTGCCCACCCGCCGCCCCCTCCCCGCCGCCCGCAGCTGCTTCCTCCTCGGTTGTGGATCACATTTGAGTTCTGGGCCGTGCCGCCCGACCTTTCGCTTTCCTTTAACCCGGCTTCCGTTTTTGTTTCGATTATGATTTGTCTTCTGGACGCCTGTGAGTAATTTTTGAAACTTCTGCTATTTTTAACCCCGAAACTTACAAAACTCCATTTCTCATTTCTCTTTTCACTTTGTTGTGTTGGTTTTCGACTCCTCCCCTCCCTCCTTGTCTCACTCCTCCTCCTCCCCTCCCTCCTCCCTGTGGCTGTTGCTTTTTTCCATTCAAATGTCCTGTGTCCCCCCCCTCCTCCTCCTCCTCCCTCCCCTCCTGGCCCTTCTCCCTTGGCTCCCCTCTCTTCCTCCCAATCCTGTGTCTCCTTTGATTTTGTTGTATCTTTTTTTTTGATTTCCTTTGTTTCAATTTTCGTGTAGGGCAGTAGTTCCGTAAGTGGAAGCCCAGCCCCCTCAACATCTGGTACCAGCACTCCGCGGCGGGGCCGCCGCCAGCTCCCCCAGACCCCCTCCACCCCCCGGCCACACGTGTCCTATTCCCCTGTGATCCGTAAGGCCGGCGGCTCGGGTCCCCCGCAGCAGCAGCAGCAGGCGGTGGCCAGGCCGGGCCGGGCGGCCACCAGCGGCCCTCGGAGGTACCCAGGCCCCACGGCCGAGCCTCTGGCGGGAGATCGGCCGCCCACGGGGGGCCACAGCAGCGGCCGCTCGCCCAGGATGGAGCGGCGGGTCCCAGGCCCGGCCCGGAGCGAGTCCCCCAGGGCCTGTCGCCACGGTGGGGCCCGGTGGCCGGCATCCGGCCCGCACGTGTCCGAAGGGCCCCCGGGTCCCCGGCACCACGGCTACTATCGGGGCTCCGACTACGACGAGGCCGACGGCCCGGGCAGCGGGGGCGGCGAGGAGGCCATGGCCGGGGCCTACGACGCGCCACCCCCCGCACGACACGCGTCCTCGGGCGCCACCGGGCGCTCGCCCAGGACTCCCCGGGCCTCGGGCCCGGCCTGCGCCTCGCCTTCCCGGCACGGCCGGCGACTCCCCAACGGCTACTACCCGGCGCACGGACTGGCCAGGCCCCGCGGGCCGGGCTCCAGGAAGGGCCTGCACGAACCCTACAGCGAGAGCGACGACGATTGGTGCTAAGCCCGGGCGAGGTGGCGCCCGCCCGGCCCCCCACGCACCCCACGCACACACCCCACCCGAGGAGCCGCGCAGAGGCCGCGGGGGCCCAGCACAGAGGGCCCGGGAGAGGGCCAGCCGGGAGACCCCAGACTCTGGAGAGGCCAGGGCTGGGCCACAAGGGTGTCCCGCAGAAACCCTCGGCCAGAAGAGACCCTCCTGGGCAGCCACGGCGCCCCCCACCCAGCCCCGATCCCCCCCACCTACGACGGGCTCTCGGGTGGGAGGCAGGGGGCAGACAAACCACACCGCCAAGGGATTTGAATTAACTCAGCCATTTTTGGAGAACTTTGGGGAACATGGAAAAAAAACAAAAACAAAAAAACAAAAAAAAACATTTTTAAAAGAAAAACGGGGAGAAAAAAATAGCTTCTATTGATGAGTTTTATCATCTCAATTGAATCTTTCCTTTCCCTGATGAACGAGAGCTGGTGGCCGAGTGCGGCAAAGAAGCTGGAAGGAACCGGAACCCCAGCGCCCAGCACCCATCACCAGACACACTCATATCCACACACGTTCTCAGACACACACAGGAGTGCTTGCCGGTTATACCAAACCCTACTATTACTGCCTGCAGAAATCAATTTAAAAAAAATAATAACAATAAACAATTTTAAAAAGGACAAAAAAATTAATGATTGAGAAAAGAGGCATTTTTTTCTGACATTTGGTCCTGCTTGAAATAACAAAAGAAGAAAAAAAAAAAACCCACCATGACCACCGATTCCTTTGCTTCTTTTTTCCTTTTTTCCTACCTTGTTTGAAAACCGTGGGCTTGGGACTGTGAATTATTGCATGACATTCAAAAAGAAAAAAAAAAATAAAAAAAGTTGAATCAAAGGGTTTTTGGATGGGAGTGGTCTTTATCCCTTGGCTAGGTGCTGCCTGGGTGGGTCTCTGTTGGGGAATCATACAAAGAGGCACTTTGTTAGCTCCTAGAAGCAGTGTTTGAAAGTGACAAAGAGGCCAGGCATTGTTGTGCACGCCTGTAATCCCAGCACTTTGGGAGGCCGAGGCAAATGGATCACTTGAGGTCAAGAGTTCGAGACCAACCCGGCCAACATGGCAAAACCCCATCTCTACTAAAAATGCAAAAAAAAAAAAAAAAAAAAAAAAATTAGCCACGCGTGGTTGCACACACCTGTAATCCCAGCTACTCCGGAGGCTGAGGCACGAGAATCACCTGAGCCTGAGAGGCGGAGGTTAACAGTGAGCCAAGATCCCACCACTGCACTCCAGCCTGAGTGACAGAGTGCGACTCTGTCTTTAAAAAAAAAAAAAAAAAAAAAAAGGCCAGGCGCGGTGGCTCACGCCTATAATCCCAGCACTTTGGGAGGCCAAGGTGGGTGGATTACATGAGGTCAGGAGTTCACAACCAGCCTGGCCAACATAGTAAAACCCCGTCTTTACTAAAAACACAAAAAATTAGCCAGGCTTGGTGGTGGGCACCTGTAATCCCAACTACTTGGGAGGCTGAAGCAGGAGAATCATTTGAACCTGGGAGGCAGAGGTTTCAGCGAGCCCAGACTGCGCCATTGCACTCCAGCCTGGGCAACAAGAGCTAAATTCCGTTTCAGAAAAAAAGGAAAGTGGCGAAGACGGAGGAAACTGCAGCTCTCCGGTCCCTAGCTATTTGCAATGTCTGGGTAATTGTCCCAGTGACACAGAGAGCAATGCAAGCTTCTCCTGTCACGGGCCCCAGTGGAATGAGCTGGCTGAGTTGGGAGCTCAGGAAAGCAAAAATCTGAAGATCCTATCCAGGTCCTTGGCAGCTGTCCTTGCTGGAGTGCAGGGCAGTGCACCCCGCCCTCCATGCACAGGTTCCCAGTTCTCCCAAAGCTTAGGTCTGAACTGAGAGCAGCCATCCTGGGCCAGGCGAAGTGGCTCAAGCCTGTAATGCAGCACTTTGGGAGTCCAAGGCGGGCAGATTGCTTGAAGCCAGGAGTTAGAGACCAGCCTGGCTAACATGTGAAAACCCGTCTCTACTAAAAATACAAAAATTAGCCAGGCATAGTGGCGGGTGCCTGTAATCCCAGCTACTCGAGAGGCTGAGGCAGGAGAATCACTTGAACCCAGGAGGCGGAAGTTGCAGTGAGCCAAGATCGTGCCATTGCACTCCAGCCTGGGCAACAGAGCAAGACTCTGTCTCAGATAATAATAGTTTGGTCTTGTGGACACCCCCACCCCAAAGTGTTTCAGCCATCCTCAGAGTCCAAGACTCCTTTGAGAACTTCTGTTCTCAGAACAGTACCTGACCCACAGCAAGCTATTATTGACTATCACCATTACTACTGTAGCATTAAGGCAAACATTTTGAACAGGTCTTGTTCCAGACAACAGGCCCTGCTTGAGCTTACCTCAGGCAAGAAATCTGCAGACTCCAGATGGCAAGACAGGTATAAGTCCTTCTAAAATAATGGTAAGCCAAGTGTGGTGGCACGCACCTGTAGTTCCAGCTATTCAGGAGGCTGAGGCAGGAGGATCACTTGAGCCCACGGAGGTCAAGACCAGCTATGATCACACCTGTGAATAACCATTGCACTCCAACCTGGGTGACGGAGAAAGATCCCATCTCTAAAAAAAATTAAAAGTAAAAATAAGTAAATAAAATAATGACATCTAGGAAAAAATCAGTCCAACAAGAAGTCAAAGTTTTGAGGCTGAGTGCGGTGGCTGACTTGTAATCTCAACACTTTGGGAGGATCGCTTGAGGCCGGTAGTTCAAGACCAGCTGGGCAACATAGCAAGACCCTGTCACTAAAAAAAAAAGGTTTTTTTGTTTTTTTTTTTTTAAGGCTGGGCACAATGGCTCACACCTGTAATCCCAGCACTTTGGCAGGCCAAGGCAGTAAAATCACCAAGTCAGGAGTTTGAGACCAGCCTGGCCAACATAGTGAAACCCCATCTCAACTAAAAATACAAAACTTAGCTGGGTGTGGTGGTGCATGCCTATATTCCCAGCTACTCGGGAGGCTGAGGCAGGAGAATCGCTTGAACCTGGGAGGCAGAGGTTGTAGTGAGCTGAGATTACATCACTGCACTCCAGCCTGGGTGACAGAGTGAGACTCCGTCTCAAAAAAAATAATAATATTTTTTTTAATGGAAGGGAGGGAGCCTAGCAACCTGCAACCAACACAGGCTTCTAAACAAGCTGCCCGTCCAAGGCAGAGTTGGCCTCTGGTCCCCCTCCCATGTTGTTGGGGTTGAGTGTGTCCAGGAGCCACTGGAGAAAGCCAGGGTTCGTGCAATTCCTTCCGCTGCCAATGAGGCTGCAGTTATCTGTCCCCCAGGAATGAAGTTCACTACCAGAGCCCGCCATGAGCCCTGAACTCAAAGGCCAAGTCTATGCCCAAGTGCTAAGAGGTGGTCGGAGGCCTCCACAGTCCACATCATCAGGCTGGAGTGTCAGTTGCCCAGGAGACACAGGGGATGAGGAAGAGGAGGGGAGCTTGGCTTAGTCCCAGGTCTCACATCCCCTCAGGCCATTGTTTGAGCCTCATCACCTGGAAGGCTGAAAGTGCATGATTGTCATAGAAATGCCCTGAGGTTCAAAAGCCCAAGCATCGGCTGGGCTGGGTGGCTCATGCCTGTAACCCCAGCACTTTGGGAGGTCAAGGTGGGTGGATTGCTTGAGCTCAGGAGTTCGAGACCAGCCTGGGCAACATGGCGAGACCCTGTCTCTACTAAAAATGAAAAATAGCAGAGTGTGGTGGTACATGCCTGTGGTCCCAGCTACTGGAGAGGCTGAGGCTGGAGGATCACTTGAGCCCAGGAGTTCAAGACCAGCCTGGGTAACATGGTGAAACCCCATCTCTACAAAAAATACAAAAATTGGCTGGGCGTGGTGGCTCACGCCTGTAATCCCAGCACTTCGGGAGGCTGAGGCGGGCGGATCACCTGAGGTCGGGAGTTCGAGACCAGCCTGACCAACATGGAAAAACCCCGTCTCTACTACAAATACAAAATTAGCCAGGCGTAGTGGCGCATGCCTATAATCCCAGCTACTTGGGAGGCTGAGGCAGGAGAATCACTTGAATCCAGGAGGTGGAGGTTGCAGTGAGCCAAGATCATGCCATTGCACTCCAGCCTGGGCAACAAAAGCGAAACTCTGTCTCAAACAATAAATAAATACATAATATAAAAAGTAGCCTGGCATTGCGGTACATGCCTGTGGTCTCAGCTACTTGGGAGACTGAGGTGGGAGGATCAAATAAACCCAGGAGATCAAGGCAGCAGTGACCTTTGATCACGCCACTGCACTCCAGCCTAGGTGACAGAGAAAAACCCTGTTTCAAAAAGAAAAAAAGGGAGAGAGAGAGGGAGACAGAGAGTTATTTCAGAAAGGTTGTTTATGTAGACTCATCTTGGGACTGACTATCTGTAGTGAGAGGAGTCGCTCTGCTCTCCCTGGTAAGGAGACAGGGGGACACCTCCACAGAGGGAAATATATGTCACCTTCTTAAAGAGAAGTTTCTGCCTGGCTTTGAGGCAGAAAAGGAGAGAGCAGAGAATTCTTTCTGCCTCTACTGATTTTTTTTTTTTTTTTTTTTTTTTGAGACAGTCTCGCTCTGTCACCCAGGTTGGAGTGCAATGTCAGGATCTCGGCTCACTTCAACCTCCACCTCCCAGGTTCAAGGGATTCTTGTGCCTCAGCCTCCCAAGTAGTTGGGACTATAGGTGCCCACCACCATACCCAGCTAAGTTTTTGTTTTGTTTTTTTTTTTTTTTTTTTTTGGAGACAGAGTCTCGCTCTGTCGCCCAGGCTAGAGTGTGCAGTGGCACAGTCTCCGCTCACTGCAAGCTCCACCTCCCGGGTTCACGCCATTCTCCTGCCTCAGCCTCCCGAGTAGCTGGGACTACAGGAAGCCGCCACCACACCCAGCTAATTTTTTGTATTTTTAGTAGAGACGGGGTTTCACCATGTTAGCCAGGGTGGTCTCGATCTCCTGACCTCATGATCCGCCTACCTTGGCCTCCCAAAGTGCTGGGATTACAGGTTTGAGCCACCACGCCCAGCCAATTTTTTGTATTTTTAGTAGAGACAAGGTTTCACCATGTTGGTCAGGCTGGTCTCAAACTCCTGATCTCAGGTGATCCATCCACCTTGGCCTCCCAAAATGCTGGATTATAGGGGTGAGCTACCGCGCCTGGCCATCTACTGATTTTCTATTGCATTCAGCTTAGAATAATTATTATGCTACAGTTGATAGCTAGCTAGCTAGATGATAGATAGATAGATAGATAGATAGATAGATAGATAGATAGATTTTTTTTTTTTTTTTTTTGAGACAGGGTCTTGCTCTGTTGCCCAGGCTGGAGTGCAGTGGTGCAATCTCAGCTCTCTGCAACCTCAGCCTTGCAGCCTCAAGCCATCCTCCTACCTCAGCCTCCCAAGTAGCTGGGACCACAGGTGGATGCCACCATATGCCTGGTGAATTTTTTGTATTTTTGGTAGAGATGGGGTTTTGCCACATTGCCCAGGCTAGTCTCAAACTCCTGAGCTCAAACGATCCACTCACCTCGGCCTCCCAGAGTGCTGGATTACAAGCATGAGGCACTGTGCCCAGTCTCTAAGTGATATATTTTTAAGGGTAACATATCCTGATCCCCTTCAGCTGCCATCAGAGAACTGGGGTGGGGACATGGAACGGTCACATCACCCAGCTGGAGGACTTGTGAGACAGCCATGACTGTGCGGGGACCCCAGCCAGAGCACCTCAGGAGGCTGAGGCAGGAGAATCGCTTGAACCTGGGAGGTAGAGGTTGTTGCAGTGAGCCAAGATCATGCCACTGCACTCCAGCCTGGGTGACACGGCAAGACTCCGTCTCAAAAGAAAAAAAAACAACAACAACAAAAATGCGGAGGGGAAGAAAATGGATGGCTTTTTAAAAAATTAAAGAAGTTGCCGGGCATGGTGGCTCATGCCTGTAATCCCAGCACTTTGGGAGGCCGAGGCGGGTAGATCACGACGTCAGGAGTTCAAGACCAGCCTGGCCGAGATGGGGAAACCCCCGTCTCTACTAAAAACACAAAAATTAGCCAGGTGTGGTGTTGGGCGCTTGTAATCCCAGGTATTCGGGAGGCCATGGCAGAGAATTGCTTGAACCCGCAAGGCGGAGGTTGCAGTGAGCAGAGATCGCACCACTGCATTCCAGCCTAGGTGAGAGAGGGAGACACCATCTTAAAAAAAGAAAAAAAAAAAACAAAATTAAAGAAGTCAGATGTGGTAGCATGCACCTGCAGTCCCAGCTAAGGCTAAGGCGAGAGGATCACTTGAGCCCAGGAGTTTGAGAGCAGACTGGGCAACCTAGCAAGACCCCATCTCAAAAAAGAAAATTAAAGAAATAGGAGTTGGGCCGGGCACGGTGGCTCATGCCTGTAATCCCAGCACTTTGGGAGGCCGAGGTGGGTGGATCACCTGAGGTCAGGAGTTCAAGACCAGCCTGGACAACATGATGAAACCCCGTCTCTACTAATAATACAAAAATCAGCTGGGTGTGGTGGCAGGCACCTGTAATCCCAGCTATTCAGGAGGCTGAGGCAGGAGAATTGGCTTGAACCTGGGAAGCAGAGGTTGTAATGAACCGAGATCGTGCCACTGCACTCCAACCTGGGAGACAGAGGGAAACTCCGTCTCAAAAAAATAAAATAAAATAAAAAATTAAAGAAATAGGAGTTGTATTAGTCTCTTCCTGTGGCTGCTGTAATAAATTATCGGCTGGGCACGTCTATAATCCCAGCACTTTGGGAGGCCAAGACGGGCGGATCACGAGGTCAGGAGATCAAGACCATCCTGGCTAACCTGGTGAAACCCCATCTCTACTAAAAAATACAAAAAACTAGCCGGGCGAGGTGGCAGGCACCTGTAGTCCCAGCTACTCGGGAGGCTGAGGCAGGAGAATGGTGTGAACCTGGGAGGCGGAGCTTGCAGTGAGCTGAGATCTGGCCACTGTACTCCAGTCTGGGCGACAGAGCAAGACTCCGTCTCAAAAAAATAATAAAATAAAATAAAATAAATAAATTATCACAGGCTGTGTGCCTTACAATAGCAGACATTTGACTGTGCCCAGTGGCTTACACATGTTATCCCAGCACTCTGGGAGGCCGAGGCAGACAGATCACCTGAGGTCAGGAGTTCAAGACCAACCTGGCCAACATGGTGAAACCCCTTCTCCACTAAAAATACAAAAAAATTAATAAATAACCAGGCATGGTGGCAGACATCTGTAGTCCCAGCTACTCAGGAGACTGAGACAGGAGAAACGCTTGCACCTGGGAGACGGAGGCTGCAGTGAGCCGAGATCGCACCATTGCCCTCCAGCCTGGGCAACAAGAGTGAACCTCTGTCTCAAAAAAAAAAAAGTCCTATTCTTGGACTTCCCTGCCTCCAGAAATGTGAGCTACACGTTTCTGTCATTTATGAATCCCCCAGTCTATGACATTTTGTTATAGCAGTCCAAACGGATTAAGGCAGATGCTATTCAACCCAGAGCAGTAACACAACCGATAAAGGAGGTGCAGACAGTGTCCGCAAATGACCTGCCATCGTGGGACACGGCTAGCCGAGGAAGCACTGGACGCTCCGCTGTGTCTCCCGCTGTGAGTCCTATGGGAACTGGCTTCCACCTGAGCGTCTGTCTCGAGTACACGGCGACTGTGATGACGAGTCACTCCTATTCCCTCATCTATGTCAGCTGAGCACTGCTGAAGGCCAAGTGAGGATGAGCAGATGAGGGCAGCCATCGTGGAGGAGAAACTGCAGAGGGGACAGACACGGAAACCAATGTCATCCCACCCACATCCTGAATCGGCGATGACAGCCGCGTCTGCTATACAGGGTGCCTACGTCCCATCTGGACTCCTGTGTCTGCCGCCCCTGCCCTGCCTGGAATGATGGCCGGTCCCACGCTGCGGTCTCCTGTCACACCCGTCACGCCTACCACCTCTCCCCCTGTGAGTTTCCCCCAGCCCCAGGCCCCTACCAGCCCTGCACACTTCTACATCAGGCCCAGCCCCTCTCACCCACCCTTGGTTCTCTCATACCTGCCCCTGCAGTCCTGCAAAAGGGGACCTCCCTCCTGCCCACTCTGATATATATATATTTGGACATATGAACAGGGTCTTGCTCTGTCACCAAAGCTGCAGCGCAGTGGCGCCATCATGGCTCACTACAGCCTGGAGCTCCTGGGTTCAACCAATCCTCCCTCCTCAGTCTCCCAAGTAGCTGGGACTACAGGTGCACACGACCACACCAAGCAATTTTGTGTGCAGATTGCATCTGTTACTATGTTGCCCAGGCTGGTCTCCAACTCCTGGCCTCAAACGATCCTCTGCCTCAGCCTCCTGAGTAGTTGGAATTACAAGCATGAGCCACCACACTCGATAGCTGTTTTAATTGATGCATCATAGATGTACATAGTTTTGGGGGTACATGTGATGATTTAATACATTCATATAATTTGTAAAGATCAAATCAAGTGTACTTGAGATATGCGTCATCTTAAATATAAATATTTAGGCTGGGTGCGGTGGCTCACGTCAGTAATCCCAGCACTTTGGGAGGCCGAAGTGGGTGGATCACCTGAGGTCGGGAGTTCGAGAACAGCCTGACAAACAGGGAAAAACCTCTTCTCTACTAAAAATACAAAATTAGCCGGGTATGGTGGCACATGCCTATAATCCCAGGTACTAGAGAGGCTGAGGCAGGAGAATTACTTGAACCTGGGAGGCAGAGGTTGCGGTGAGCCAATATCACGCCACTGCACTCCAGCCTGGGCAACAAGAGCGAAACTACGTCTCAAAAAAAAAAAAAAAAAAGAATACAAAAATTAGCCAGGCACAGTGGTGGGTGCCTGTAATTCCAGCTACTTGAGGAGGCTGAGGCAGGCGAATCGCTTGAGCCGGGGAGGCAGAGGCTGCAGTGAGCCGAGATTGCGCCATTGCACTCCAGCCTGGGTGACAGAGTGAGACTCTGCCTCAAAAAAAAAAACCAAAAAACAAACAAACAAACAAAAAACAAAGAAGGCCAGGCGAGGTGGCTCATGCCTGTAATCCCAACACTTTGGGAGGCCAAGGCGAGCAGATCACGAAGTCAGGAGTTCGAGACCATCCTGGCCAACATGGTAACACCCCATCTCTATTAAAATACAAAAAAACTGGCCAGGCGTGGTGGTGGCACCTGTAGTCCCAGCTACTCCAGAGGCTGAGACAGGGGAAATGCTTGAACCCGGGAGGCAGAGGCTGCAGTAAGCCGAGATCCCGCCATTGCACTCCAGCCTGGCGACAAAGCAAGACTCCGTTTCAAAAAAAAAAAAGAAAGAAAGAAAATAAGAAAACATTGGGAAAATGCTCAGATGTTGGTCTGGGCAAGGATTTTTTGTGCAAGGCCCCAAAAGCACAGGCAACAAAAGGAAAAATCAACAAACGGGATTATATCAAGCACTTTTTTTTTTTTTAAAGTCAGGGTATTGCTATATTACCCAGGCTGGCCTGAAACTTGTAGACTCAAGGGATCCTCCTGCCTCAGACTCCCAAGTAGCTGGGACTACAGGCACATGCCACCATGCCCAGCTTGGAAAAATGTTCTAAACTTGAGCTGGGCGTGGCGGCTCATGCCTGTAATCCCACCGCTTTGGGAGACCGAGGAGGGCGAATCATTTGAGGTGTCAGGAATTCACGACCAGCCTGGCCAAAATGGTGAAACCCAGTCTCTACAAAAATACAAATATTAGCCAGGCAGAATGGTGAGTTCCTGTAATCCCCACCATTGTAGTAACCCCACCATTGTAGCAATTGAGCTACTGGGAGAATTACTTCAACCTGGGCGGATATTGTAGTGAGCCACAGAGCGAGACACTGTCTCAAAAAACGACAAAAAAAAAGAGATCGAGACCATCTTGGCCAACATGGTGAAGCCCTGTCTCTACTAACTGGGTGTGGTGGTGCGTGCCTGTAGTCCCAGCCACTCGGGAGGCTGAGGCAGCAGTATGGCTTGAACCTGGGAGGCAGAGGTTGCAGTGAGCCAAGATCCCAACAGAGCAAGACTCCATCTCAAAACAAACAAACAAACAAAAAGAATCTAGAACTTGGGCCAGGTGTGGTGGCTCACGCCTGTAATGCCAGCTACTTAGGAGCCTGAGAGGCTAGAGAACCCCTTCAACCCTCGGGTCAGAGGTTGCAGTGAGCTGAGATCACCCCACTGCACTCCAGCCTGTGTGACAGAATGAGACCCTGTCTCAAAAAAAAAAAAGAAAAAAAAAAGTAAATCAATTGGACAATCAAATTAGATTCGGAACTCCACAAAGTTAGGTCCAGGGCCTTGCTCAAGGTAGTGTCCCAAGCTCCAGGCTCCAGGGGGCCTTATTTTACCTGAGGTTGCACAGCCGGAACAAGCCAAGGAGTCAGGTCGACAGCGCCACCTAGAGGCCAGATGGCAAACAGTCAAACATGAGACCACTCTTTTTTTTTTTTTTTTTGAGACGGAGTTTTGCTCTTGTTCAGGAGTTTGAGACCAGGCTGGCCAACATGGTGAAACCCCGTCTCTACTAAAAATACAAAAATTAGCCGGGCATGGTGGCACATGCCTATAGTCCCAGCTACTCGGAAGGCTGAGGCAGGAGAATTGCTTGAACCCGGGAGGCAGGGATTGCAGTGAGCCAAGATCCCACCACTGCACTCTAGCCTGAGCAACACAGCAAGACATTGTCTTAAAAAAGAAAGAAAGAAAGAAAGAAAGACAAGAAAAGAAAGAAAGAAAGAAGGCCGGGCGCGGTGGCTCACGTCTGTAATCCCAGCACTTTGGGAGGCCGAGCCGGGTGGATCACCTGAGGTCGGGAGTGCGAGACCAGCCTGACCAACATAGAAAAACCGTCTCTACTAAAAATACAAAATTAGCCAGGTGTGGTGGCGCGTTTCTGTAATCCCAGCTAGTAGGGAGGCTGAGGCAAGAGAATCATTTGAACCCAGGAGGTGGAGGTTGCAGTGAGCTGAGATCGTGCCATTGCACTCCAGCCTGGGCAACAAGACTGAAACTCCGTCTCCAAAAAAAAAAAGAAAAGAAAAAGAAAGAAAGAAAACCGAAACTGGAAAGACAGAGGCAGTCTCTTTTTTTCTTTTTCTTCTTCTTGTTTTGTTTTGTCTTGTTTTTCTGTTTTTGTTGTTGAGACAGTGTCTCACTCTGTTTCCCAGACTGGAGTGCAGTGGTCCCATTATAGCTCACTGCCCCCTCGACCTCCTAGGCTCCATTGATCCTCCCACCTCAGCCTCCCAAGTAGCTGGGACCACAGGTAAGTGCCACCACACCTGGCTACTTTGTTTTTAATCCCAGCACTTTGGGAGGCCAAGACGGGAGGATCACCTGAGTCCAGGAATTTGAGATGAGGCTGGGCAACATAGTGAGACCTCATTTCTTTTTTTCTTTTTTTTTTTTTTTTTTTGAGATGGTGTTTCGCTCTGTGCAATGGTGTGATCTTGGCTCACTACAACCTCTGCCTCCTGGGTTCAAGCGATTCTCCTGCCTCAGCCTCCTGGGTAGCTGGGATTACAGGCATACGCCACCACGCCTGGCTAATTTTGTATTTTTAGTAGAGATGGGCTTTCTCCATGTTGGTCAGGCTGGTCTCAAACTTCTGACCTCCAACGATCCACTGCCTTGGCCTCCCAAAGTGCTGGGATAACAAACATGAGCCACCGTGCCTGGCCTGCCACACTCCTGTGGTCTCAGCTACTTGGGACTTTGGGATGGGAGGATCACTGGAGCCCAGGAGGTGGAGGCTGCAGTGAGCTACGAACACACTACTGCACTCCAGCCTGGGCAACAGAGCCAGACCCTCTCTCAAATAAATAGATAAATAAAATAGAGACAGGTCTCACTATGTTGCCCAGGCTGGCCTTAAAGTCCTGACTCCAAGCAAATCTCCCACCTGGGCCTACTTAGTAGCTAGGACTACAGGTGGATGCCACCACGCCCAGCTAATTTTTATTTTTTATTTATTTAGTTTTTTTTTGTTTTGTTTTGGTTTGAGATAGAGTCTTGCTCTGTCACCCAGGCAAGAGTACAGTGGCACGATCTCACCTCACTGCAACCTCCACCTCCCGGGTTGAAGCAATTCTCTTGTGTCAGCCTCCCGAGTGGCTGGGACTACAGTCGCCTGCCACCATGCCTCACTAATTTTTGTGTTTTACTAGAGAGGGGGTTTCACCACGTTGGCCAGGCTGGTCTCGAACTCCTGACCTCGAGTGATCCGCCCACCTTGGCCTCCAAAAGTGCTGGGATTACAGGTGTGAGCCACTGCACCTAACCTTTTCTGTTTGTTTAAGAGACAGGGTTTTGGCCAGAGCCAGACTGTCTCAAAAAATAAAAAAATAAATAAATACAAAATTAGCCAGGCGTGGTGGTGCATGCCGTAATCCCAGCTACTCGGGAGGCTGAGGCAGGAGAATCGCTTGAACCCAGGAGGCAGAGGTTGTGGTGAGCCGAGATCACGCCATTGCACTCCAGCCTGGGCAACAAGAGTGAAACTCTGTCTCAAAAAAAAAGAGACAGGGTTTTGCTATGTTGCCCAACCTTGTCTCAACTCGTGGCCTCAAAGGACCCAAGGGAGAAAGTTTCTGATCAGAAAAATAAGAGTCAGGCTGGGCTCAGTGGCTCATGGTTGGGAGGCCGAGGCAGGTGGGTCACTTGAGGTCATGGGTTCAAGATCAGCCTGGTCAACATGGTGAAACTCCATCTCTACTAAAAATACAAAAATTGGCTGGACATGGTGCTGGGCACCTGTAATCCCAGCTTACTCAGTAGGCTGAGACAGGAGAATTGTTGAACTCAGGAGATGAAGGTTGCAGTGAGCCGAGATCCCACCCTGGCACTCCAATTTGGGCGACAGAGCAAGACTCCGTCTCAAAAGAAAAGAGTCAGAAAGGCTCAAAAAGGCTCAATGACTTGTCCAGTGTCACACAATTATAAAAAGGATGAGACTTGCCGGGTGCAGTGGCTCATGCCTGTAATCCCAGCACTTTGGGAGGCTGAGACGGGCGGATCACGAGGTCAAGAGATCGAGACCATTCTGGCCAACATGGTGAAACCCCATCTCTACTAAAAAAAGTACAAAATTTAGCTGGGTGTGGTGGTGGGCGCCTGTAGTCCCAGCTCCTCGGGAGGCTGAGGCAGGAGAATTGCTTGAACCCGGGAGGTGGAGGTTGCAGTGAGCCGAGATCGCGCCATTGCACTCCAGCCTAGCGACAGGGCGAGACTCCATCTCAAAAAAAAAAAAAAAAAAGGATGCGACTTGAATCTGTAACCGGTTGGTTTCTGGTTTCCGTCCAGTCACACTTGCCATTTCCCTGAGGTGAGGACACGCCCCTGCTGGTTGAGACCTAGTTAACTTCTGCCACGTCCCACCCCACCCCCGCCTCCGCCCCCTCCTAAATTATGATCCAGAACAACAATCTCCAGGTCCTTGAACTTCAGATGGTCCAAAGTTCAGGGTGGTTCAAGATATTGAAACCATCTCTTTCCCCTACCCCTCCCAGCCAGCCAGGGAGAGTTAGGTTCTGCTACCTGTGGAACCAAATCATGAATCCAAAGTCCAGTCAGTGGCCCATGCTTGTAATCCCAGCACTTTGGGAGGCTGAGGGGGGCAGATCGCTTGAGGCCAGAAGTTCAAGACCACCCTGGGCAACATGGCAAGACCCCCATCTTTACAAAATTAGCCAGGCATGGTGCCTCATGCCTGTAGTCCCAGCTACTTGGGAGGCTGAGGCGGGAGGATGACTTGAGCCCAGGAGGTGGAGGCTGCAGTGAGCTATGACCACACCACTGCATTCCAGCCTATGTGACAGAGGAAGACTGGCTTAAAATAAATAAATAAATAAATAAATAAAGGCCAGGCACAGTGGCTCATACCTGTAATCCCAACACTTTGGGAGGCCGAGGTGGGTGGATAACTTGAGGTCAGGAGTTCAAGACCAGCCTGGCCAACATGGTGAAATCCCGCCTCTACTAAATACACAAAAATTACCTGAGTGTGGTGGCAGGCGCCTGTAGTCCCAGCTACTCAGGAGGCTGAGGCAGGAGAATCTCTTGAAACCAGGAGGTGGAGGTTGCAGTGAGCCAAGATCATACCACTACACTTCAGCCTGCACAACAAAAGTGAAACTCTATCTTAAAAAATAAATAATAAATAAATAAATAAATAAATAATTAAAAAGAAAAGTCCAGGCCAGGCATGGTGGCTCACACCTGCAATCTCAGTATTTTGAGAGGCCGAGGCGGGCGGATCACTTGAGGACAGGAGTTCACGACCAGCCTGGCCAACATGGTGAAACCCTATCTCTAATAAAAATTACAAAAATTACAGGCATGTGGTGGCACATGCCTGTAATCCCAGCTACTAGGGAGGCTGAGGTAGGAGAATTCTTTGAACCCAGGAGGCAGAGGTTGCAGTGAGCCGAGATTGCACCACTGCACTCCAGCTGGCCCAGAAAGCCAGACCTTGTCTCAAAAAAAAAAAAAAAAAAATAGAAAATTCCAGTTAGTGGGTGGACAGCCACAGCTCTCCTACCCACCTCGGCTCCTCTAACACTCCTCTCTGCCTTGCTGTGGGTCCACAGTGGCCCTGGGGGTTTCCACCTTCTGGGCAAAGGAAATAGGTGTGATGTGTTGTCTCTGGAGATACGGTAGTATTAAACCCCAACCTTCCAACAGAAATCCAAAGTATGTCACATTTAAAATTTCTAGCCTGTTGCGGTGGGTCACAACTGTAATCCCAGCATTTTGAGAGGCCAAGGTGAGCAGACTGCCTGAGCTCAGGAGTTCGAGACCAGCCTGGACAACAAAGTGAAACCCCATCTCCGCCGGGCGCAGTGGCTTAGGCCTGTAATCCCAGCACTTTGGGATACCGAGGTGGGCAGATCACCTGAGGTCGGGTGTTCGAGACCTGCCTGACCAACATGGAGAAATTCTGTCTCTACTAAAAATACAAAAATTAGCCAGGCATGGTGGCGCATGCCTGTAATCCCAGCTATTTGGGAGGCTGAGGCAAGAGAATCGTTTGAACCCGGGAGGTGGAGGTTGCAGTGAGCCGAGATTGCGCCATCGCACTCCAGCCTGGGCAACAAGAGCAAAACTCCATCTCAGAAAAAAAAAAAAAAAAAAGGAAAGAAAGAAAAGAAACCTCATCTCTACAAAAAATACAAAATTTAGCCAGGTGTGGTGGTGTGTGCTTTTAGTTCCAGCTTCTAGGAGGATCACTTGAGTGTGGGAGGAAGAGATTGCAGTGAGCTGAGATGGCGTCACTGCACTCTAGCCTGGGCAACAGAGCCAGACACTGTCTAAATAAATAAATAAATAAACAAACAAACAAAAATGTTCTGGTAGCCATGTTAAAGAAAGTAAAAAGAGGCTGGGCCCAGTGGCTCCACC